TTTATGCATACAAGAACTGGGGTACAGGCAAGAGGTTGGGGGTGTGTGTGAGAGAACTTACCAGAGCCAGAGTGGGGAACAGAACAGGCAGATTGACTGAAATACACTGCTGAGGGGAGCAGTGGGTGAGTCAGGAGAGGTCTCTGCACCATGTGGGTAGCTCCCTGGCCAGGGATAGAACTCTTGCAGCAGAGGCTGCGGACAACTTCACAGTGCTGTGCTTAACCCCTTGCGCCACCACGGAGGCCCCTCTCGTCTCTTCTTATCAGGACACTGGTCCTGTCAGATCAGGACATAATCCCTCATCTCTGGTAAAGGGAAGGATAATATGGTTTTTTTTTTTTTTTTGTGGGCAGGTAGATAATTTCAATAAGAAAAGACTAAATACTCTGGGGATATGACTGGGATATACAGAGGAATAATGATATATTATTGGTTAATTGGTAAAGTCACTTGGGACTCTTCGATATCAAGAAGATCTATCCAAGATCAGGAGTTTCAGTTATAAATATGTGCCCATCTTATTCATAGTAATACTGGGGTTGACCCTTCAATAATCTTAGTATATACCTGAAGTAAATCAAAGGAAGAAATGGAATGAAGGTGGAACTTGCTAGGTGGGGCTAGTATGCTCGTGAAAACGAGCCGCCCGCTCCCACCCCCCCATTCCTAATCAGTGCTAGCGGTTTAGTGGTGAGATTTCAGTGCTGAGATTAGAGTTGCCCACCGCTTGACAAGGTCAGCAATATGATTCATGGGTGCAAACCCGGGCATTCTGGAAAGGGCGAACCACTAACCTGGGGCAGGCACCCCAGCGGCTCAGCGAGGCTGCCCTTGCAACACCGCGCGTGCCTCTTCCTAGAAACACGAATGGTTCTTGAGAACGCGCTTGGTTCACTGGATGTAGTCATCTTCCTCCCTCAGCGGTGTCGAAAGATGGAATCTCACCGTTAGATTTGGAAATCTCCAAGTGCAGGACTTTAAAAGCTGCAAGTGTTTTCTTCTTTTAGGAAATACCGGAAAATCTGATGGAGGACTTGAGCTAAAATTTGCAGAAATTGAGATGCTTTATGGGAAAATAGGTGATTGCGCAAACTGCTGGGACTCTGGGAAACTGAGAGATGTCAGCATCAAAACACCGCATTAGTCAACTTAGACTTTATTTCTCCCTCTCCTACCTGGTTGAGGGGGAAAAAAAAGGACACCATCACTGTGCCTCCCATCTGGGCGATGTTTGCAAACATCTCACCTGGAAGGTGAGGTCTTTTCCCTTTCCTCGAGTTGGAGATTGTGTGATTTCCCAGACTGGCCCCTGGAACCAGATGAGTTTCTGCTTTTATGCTTCCTGGGGCACCCTGTTGCCATGCAGTTAGGAAACTTGGGATAAAATCGTGAGTAATGAGGTAGCTCATGCAGCGGGTGAGGCCATGTTGAGGAGCTGAGCACGTGACATGTGAGCAGTGTCTTCCTGGGCCTTTCAGTTCAGCTGCCATCTGACTGCAGTTCCAAGAGACACCCCAGCAGACCCCAGCGGGAACAGAAGAACCAGCCAACTGGAACAAAAATTAGAAATGCCACAGCTGGTTTAAGCCATTGTTTTTAGATGGTTCTATTCACAGCTGTGCATGATCAGAACCACATCTCTCCCAAATTATCCACTAGGATGTGTAATCGCATCTGGAAAATTCTAGGGCAACCCCCTGCTCCAGCTTTTACTTGTTTTAGTAATATTAAAATGAATGAAAAAAAGAAATCCATTTGCAACTCTACCATTTCATAACTTCACTTATTTTCACGCTATATACACTTTTCTAGAAGTTGATGGTAGGTATATAGTGAAGTAATATGTTTATTGGGCTCATGAAAATTTGTAATTTTTACCCCTCTTAGCATTGGGTGCATTATATCTTCATGCATCCATTCAACAAGCATTTATTGTGATCACTTCATGCCAGGCATTGAGAATTTAGAGCTAAAGGATTTCATGCCACTATTTCACATTTTGACCATAATTTCCATAATCATTCTTTTGAAATTGCTCTTTGAATTAACCACAAATTGATCTAGATGGTTCTTTTCTTGTCTATTTATAAATTATAGCTCCAAAAAATTGATGGTAGCTTAGAATACAATATATGGTAACAAACCATAAAATTAAAATTAAAAAATATCAAGAAAGGAAAATAAATATAGCATGAACCTAGTCTAATAGAATTACTGTAATTGGACATGTAACTGCGGTTTCAGGCAAGGCAAAAAGAAACGGTAAATTGGTCATTCTTGTTGCTTGACTTAAAAAAGAAAAAAATCACATAATTCTCATAGAGATGGAGATTCTGACCTCCCCATAGGGGAGGGGTTGAAAATGAACCAGAGAAGAGAAGGTGGAGACAGCAACACTAGCTAGCTCTTTCAAGGAGCTTGGCTGTGAGGAAGAACAGACAGAGTGTGTTGAGGCCTGGTGGGGGCCATGGGCTGCTGATGGGGAGAATCTGTAGTGAGGCAGAAGTTGAGGATCCAGGGCCTCCTGGTGGCGCAGCGGTTGAGCGCTGGGTTGCGAAGCTGCCCGCTGCCTCTGCGGCGCCGGTTCAATCCCTGGCTGCTCCCCGGCCACCGGAGGAGGGTCCCACATGGCGCGCAGACCTCTCCTGCCGCCCGCTGCTCCCCTCAGCAGTGTACTTCGGTCCTTCTGCCTGCTCTGCTCCCCGCTCTGGCTCTGGTGAATTCTCTCACCCTCCCGCGCTTCTGACTGTACCCATAAATAAAATAAATCTTAAAAAAAAAAAAGAAAGAACCATTGCTCTTAATAAAGTCTTAAAAAAAAATGTTGAGGATCCAGGGGAGAGAGGAGCTGACTAATGGCGCAGGGTCCCTATAATTTCTGGGGCTGGAATCTGGAACTCAGGTAGAAATGTAGGGAATCCTGGCTGGCAATTTCTTTTCTGGCTGGCAATTTCTTTTCTTTTTGTTTTCTTTTTGGTTTAAACAAGATGAGAGTATAGGAGAGAGGGGTTGGAAGTTTGAAAAGAAGGGGAAAGGTGGATACTCCTTGTGGATTCAGCTACTAGTCTGTTCCAGGTATGGACTCTCGGGGTGTCCAAATTCAGGATAGACAGAAGGAAAGGGATAGACGCTGGCATGGGCATCACCAGGCCCTGGCTCTGTCTTCAGAACAGGCTCCTGATCCACAGACCCCTCCCTTCCCTATGGGAGGCCTGGTCACACCTGCTCTTCTGGAGTGATGATTCGCAGAGACCATCAAGATGGGCAGGTGGCGTGTCCAATAGGGCAGCTGTCTGTCTGGAAGATTCTAAGAATTGAGCAGTTGGTGAGGAGGGAGAAGTGTCCCCTGAAGCAAGAAGGCTCAGGAAAGGAGAGAAAAAGCGTGACTTCAGAGCCTTGGAAAGAGGAGCAGGGACATAGGCAGTGCAGGTGGGAGCCATTCCTGGAGGAGCGACCCTGCTGTGTGAGAACCCGCTTTGGCTGCCATTCAACGTGCTGCTGGAGAGTCAGCTCTTGGAGTCCACTGGGATTTGGCCACAGAGCTGTCGCCTAAGGAAGGAAAACGAAGAGTTGTGGGCCTAGACACCAAAGATTTCATCTTCCGCAAGAGGTGGCAGGTGAGAATGGAGAAGCAAGAAGCCTGTCCCTCTCTTCCCTGTCACCTGGGGCCATGCCAGGGGCCAGGCCCGGGGAGCAGGAGTCCCGAGCTCAGCTGCTGAGTCAGATGTTGTGGTTTCCAGTCCTGGTGCCCCCTGTTCCCCGGCTGTGTGGTGAGGGAGGAGCCCCTGAGCCGCTCTAGATCGCAGCTTGCTTATCACAAAGTTGCTCAGAGGAACACACAGTGAGGGCCTGACGGCTTAGTCCAGAGGACTGTGGTGATAATTTACTCACTGCCCCCACCTTTCCCGGGGCCTTTTCCTGCATCATCTGCCCTCCTAGACAGGCCGCCGCGCACCCTGCACAACCAGCCCTGCTGGAGGCCGCCTGGCATGATTTCTATGGACAGCTGCTCAAATTGGGACCTGCTATGTGGGGGGTTGTTTAGAATTATTACTGGGGGCCTCTCCGGTGGCGCAGCGGTTGAGCGCTGGGTTGTGAGGCTGCCTACAGCCTCTGCAGCGCTGGTTCGATCCCCAGCTGCTCCCCGGCCCCCGGAAGAGGGTCCCGCATGGAGCGCAGACCTCTCCTGCCGCCCGCTGCTCCCCTCAGCAGTGTACTTCGGTCCTTCTGCCTGCTCTGCTCCCCGCTCTGGCTCCAGTGAATTCTCTCACCCTCCCGGGCTTCTGACTGTACCCAGTGCATGTATAAATAAATAAACAAATCTTAAAAAAAATATATATATTTAAAAAAAAAAACAACTAGGTCACAAGACAATTTAAAAAAAAAAAGAATTATTACTGAGCCTCAGCTATCTTTTAAATTTTTTTTTTAAATTTTTTTTTTTTTTTTTTTTTTTTTTTATAAAGAGGCATGTGTTTTTATTTATTTATTCGTTTTTTTTTTTTTTTTTTTTTTTTTTTTTTGTTTATACATGCACTGGGTACAGTCAGAAGCGCGGGAGGGTGAGAGAATTCACCAGAGCCAGAGCGGGGAGCAGAGCAGGCAGAAGGACCGAAGTACACTGCTGAGGGGAGCAGCGGGCGGCAGGAGAGGTCTGCGCACCATGTGGGACCCTCATCCGGTGGCCGGGGAGCAGCCGGGGATCGAACCGGCGCCTCAGAGGCTGCGGGCAGCTTCGCAACCCAGCGCTCAACCGCTGCGCCACCGGGGAGGCCCCTCAGCTATCTTTTAAAGTGACTTTCCAGCAATAGCGGTGGTGACAGTTTTTCAATAAAAACAAAAGCAAAGTGTTAAAAAAAAAAAACCCACAAACCACAAAATAACAAGTAGGTTATAAGAATGTGGAGCCCATGTGCATTCCTGGGGGATGTCAATGGCATCGTTGCTGGGGAGACAGCACGGTGACCCTCAAAACATTAAACATAGAATTCCGTAGTACCCGACAGTTCTACTTCTGGTTATGTCCCTCCTCTTCCTTCTCATGCATATTTAGGACCTTTTTATTACATTATATGCACATATACATACATATATGTGTATATTATAGACATATACACATACCTGTAATGGTCTCTGCTGGGTGAGATGGGCATTCGCAGTGTAAATGTGAATAAAGTTTGATTCCTGACCCTCAGAAGTTTATCACCTAGTAGGAGAGATAAGGGTGGCCACTGACACGGGTGGGGGCCTCCCAGGCAGAGAGGGGTAACCGGTCACGGAGGCACAGGCCCGGCTTGTTGAGGTCAGGTGGGAAGGTATGAAACTGAGAGCTGGCGGTGGGCCTGGACCTCGGGCAGACTTCTCGACGTGCTTGGCTTCTTGGCACCCCTGTCACGCCCTGACGCTGCCTTGCTCTCCTTCCTTTGTGAGGTCCTGCTGGAGTTCTGGTCTCAGGCCCCGTCGACCCCTGAGGTCCTGCGGACATGGCTGCGGCGGCGGTGGCTGGGCTGATCCCCGTGCTGCACTCTGTGGCCGGCGACAAATCTGGCTACTACTTTGGACGACAGCTGTGGTTTGGCTTCATCGCCGTGTACGGGGTGGTGGTGTACGTGGTGCGCCTGCCCTGGACGCCCATCCACGAGGACTTCTGGTGTCACGGCAACATCACCCACTCTTGCTTGACTGAGTGTTTTGAAATGAGTTATAGTAGTGCCGTCGTGGGGATTTGGTACTTCTTCTACTTCATCTTCCTGGCCCTCTTCTTCCTCATGGAATTCTTCATGGCTCAGATCCGGCACAAGCAGATCAAGACCAAGTCCGTGGAACATGTGGATGAAGTGGAGGAGGGCTCCATGGTTGGCATCCAGGAGCTGGCCCCTAGTCCCAAGAAGTCCATCCTGAACTTCCACCAGGAGAGGATGCTCTTGCTTTTATACCTCCTTTACTTCCTCCTCCAGGTCAGTTCCCAGTGTGTGTTTTTATACTTTCTCGTGCATCGTCACCTGCCTCTGGTGAGCCAACCCGTGATTAGCTGCCACAGCAAGTACTGCCCTGGGCCCTATGTCTGCCTGATCAGGGGGTCCATGGAGAAGCAAATGTCCATCTACACGCTCATCACCATGTCCCTCATGATCATTGTCTTCTGCTTGGGCTTCTTCACGTACAGCATTCATCACTACCTCATAAAGGGGCGTTCAACGCTGAGGGATTGAGCAGATGGACATTCAGAAGTTCTTCCTGAGTTTCCTCTCTCCCGCCTCCACCTGTTGTGTCTGGGGCAGACTCCCCCTGGCTCACCTTCTTGACTTTCCTACTTCCTAAATAAACATCTGCTATTCTTTTTTTTTTTTTTAATTTATTTTTTTTTATAGAGGCATGTTTTTATTTATTTATTTATTTTATTTGTTTGTTTGTTTTGTTCATACATGCACTGGGTACAGTCAGAAGCGCGGGAGGGTGAGAGAATTCACCAGAGTCAGAGTGGGGAGCAGGGCAGGCAGAAGGACTGAAGTACACTGCTGAGGGGAGCAGCGGGCGGCAGGAGAGGTCTGCGCGCCATATGGGACCCTCCTCTGGTGGCCGGGGAGCAGCCGGGGATCGAACTGGCGCCGCAGAGGCCGCGGGCAGCCTCGCAACCCAGCGCTCAACCGCTGCGCCACCGGGGAGGCCCAACATCTGCTATTCTTGTCTCCTTTCTCTGCAGCCAGACCAAGTTTGTCTACCCATTGGGTGAGTACTATGCCCTTGATAACCTCTCTGAGTTCTTTCACCTGCACTACCTAATTTGTTCCTGATGGGAAGCCGGTGACTATGAGCTTGTTACTTCACTTTCCAGTATCTTTACATCAGCAAGAGTTTTTTGTAGTCTTAGAACGAAGAGCTTTAAAGATCTTAGAGGCGATTGATTGACTTGTGTTCTGGCCTCCCAGCAGTGGTTGTAAATCCAGAGAAGATAATTTCTCTCCACAGGAAAATTCTTTTTTTTTTTTTTGAAGGATAAGTAATTGTTATTTATTGTTTATTTCCTAATCAGACATTTCACCCTGCAATGCAGCTAGATTTGGAAGAGGATTAGGAAAATATAGGACCCAAAGACCTGGAGGGAGAGCATAATGATGATAGCAGATAGAGAGCAGACGGGGATGGAGGGGCGCTCTCCTGAGCTCCAGAAGGGTCTGGTGATTAGGATAAAACACAAGTCAAATGTATTAGATGTGTCCACGGTCAGCAAGGGTGACCTTCATGCTGCTCTTCCATTCCTGGACCCAAAGCCTCCACGGCTTCCACAATATTCATGCCCTCCTCCCCCTTGCCAAAGAGCCCTGCTCACCACCCAACCACTCAGTCTTGGCCGTGCAGGTGAAAACCGGGATCCTCTGTGCTGGATCCAGCATTTGTCATGGACAAGAATCTGGGACCTGTGTGCTTTGAGATGAAATTCTCATCATCCAATTTTTCCCCATCGATGGACTTGCCTCCTGTGCCGTTATGGCCTGAGAAGTCACTGCCCTGGCACGAAAATTCTGGAATAGTTCTGTGAAAGCAGGAATCTTTAGAACCATATCTGTTCTCCCCAGTGCTCAGAGCATGAGAGTTTTCTGTTGTTTGGAATTTTGACTGCAAAAAGCTCAAAGGAGATGTGGCCCAAGGGCTCACGTTCAACAGTGATGTCAAAGCACATGGTGGGGTTCACTCTGGTTGCACCCAACCAGGTCTGAGGGTGGCAGTATTGCAAGGTATCCACAGGGAAGTCCTCACCTGGACTTACAGGCAGGTTCCCCAAGCTCCTAATTGTGGGCACAGTCTTGCTAGCTCACTTGAGTGTCCAGTGAGGACTGAATCAATCTGAAGGAGTCGCTCCGGGGAGAGGACATGTGGTAGTTAGTGTGGGAATGAGGTTTTGTGGAAGCAATTTATTGGACTTCACTGTACCCAGAATCATGCTCCGCCTTCTCCCTAGTTCAGGAAGCTAGAAAGATGCTCGCTGTGCTTCATTTGGGCTCATCAATGGGGCCTGAGTTTCCAGCACTTTCTTACCCACACAGTTGCAAATCTGTCCTTGCTGTGCTCACACAATGCCCTCCCCAGGCCCAAAGCCCGGCGGTTGCTATGTGCCACCTCCCACTCTTATCTAGTGGGGCAGCTTTGTGCATGGCTGTGTTCAGGGCCTGTGAACCCCCTTCTGAATCTCAGCTGGGTTTGTGGGCAGACCCACCCTGTGGTGAGGCCCCACCCAGTGCATGACTGCAGTTGTGTAGAAGAAGGATTAACTCTTGGACCTGTGGAATGGTCTAGGCTTGAATCAGAGCCAAAAGTTGCTGGGTGCCCAGTGCCTAGACCAGTGCTTGGAAACTGTAGGCTCAATATGTACATTTTGGGCAAATGGAGTATAGCCACGAGCTCCCAGACTCTTGATACTGTGTCTAGGGTGTAGGCTGTGGTACAGACAGGCTCATTGAGAATCGAAAGTCAAGGTCTGCTTTATATCCCAAGCAAAACTTCAAAGCCACTTTCCCTGGGGTCATCCTAGTTTCAGACAAAGGCTTTGACCTCATTCCAAGGACTAGGAGGAGGCTGCACCAGAGGGCCCAGTCTAACCCCAGGGGGCACAGTGAGAGCAGTCAACTATCAACTGCTGTGTTCAAGCATTTACTTACACAGGTGAAAGGTGTTTCCAGCAGAGGGAAAAACAAGGGTCCTGAGATGGAGGGTTGGTGAGGGTTCAATCAGGGACAGAATCCACAGCAGTAATTTGAACAGGCAGAGTTCATTAACAAAGTCTTGTTAACCAGTCAAATGTGGTAATCTACTAGAAGGGTAAAAGGGGGACTCTAAGGTACCAGAAAGTAGAAATTGCAGCAAGCAACTTCTGCCTGCAGGCTGAGGTGGGAATGTGCTAGGGAGGAATGGTGTGGCTGCCACGGGAATATATTGCTCTGTGTGGACAGAGGGACCTGCCAGAGGGTCAGACAGAGCTGATCTGGAGGAGCAGAGAAACTTCCCAGAGGGTGCAGTGGAAACAGTAGTCCATCGGGGCTACCAAGTCTCTCACACACCAAACCACTGTCTACACCAAGGAAGAACACACTGGAAGGATTTCCCTTCTTTCTACCATTGCCTCCCAGTGTCCTTCGGATAATATCTATGGGCAAATCCTAGCATCAACCCATCTGGCAAAGGAGAAATGTTTGCAGGTCATCTCTAATATCACAAAACAGGGCAAAAAAGGGGTGGTTTCAGAGTTGAGAGGCAATGAACTGATAATTGGCAGTTTATTCTTTTGGCTACTCACCTTCCATACGTGTCCTCCCACACACATTTGAACATCCAAACAACCAGGAAACAACTGGATGTTTCCCCCTAGCAAACAGCTGTAGCTGCCCTTTGCTCACAGGAGATGCAAGTGATCACTCTTTCTCCAAAAGGGAAACAGCCTCAAGAGACATCACACCCGTCGTTGGCTATATCCAGTACTTCCAAATTTAGTCACAGCTCCACTGAAAATTTAAACAAAGTTCTAAAGTTAATCTTCAACAACTTGTATATAAAAAAAATCAGAGAAAGAATAAAAATAGTTATGCTGTACAAATGAATTTGCACGCAAAAGAAATGTGCAAAACCACTTCAATCCTCAGAGTCATCACAGTTTTGGTAGATCTTTCTCCTCCACGCCCCATTTATTTTTTCCTTTACCGTTAGCCAGAACCTTAAATAGGTGGGGTTCATTTCCTGGTGGGGTGAGCCAAACTTACATTCTGAATGGTCTGAATCCCCCAGAGTCTTGACTTTTTCTCTTATATGTGCTGGAATGTTCACATAACTTGTTCTTTTAGCATAGAGGAGCACATTGGGGTGGGGTTCCTTATGTGGGGCTCTGCCCTGCACTGCACAGCAGTCGTCCAGTTTCTCACTGGCAGCTGTGGCCAGTCATGCCAGCCAGGAAAGTAACTTTTTTTCTCCCTGCTGGTTCAGTGGCATGAGGAGCCTCAAATGACCAGTGGTGGCCCCATCTTTCCAATCAGTGGACCCACCGTTGTGCCCTTTGATGGAAGCATTCCACCCCCCTTGCTTGGGAACTAAAGAGGATCTGATACCAATTCCAATGTGGGCGAAGGGGTTTCCCAAATACCCACCAAGCTATTTTGGGACCCCAGCAGGGAGATCTTGACTTAACTGTATCCAGAGAAAGCACCAGTTTCCAAGACTGTCCCCTGCCCTGCTATAAGGGGCAGGAATGGGCACAGCAGGTTCTCTATGATTGAGTAGACGGGTTAAAGGAAAAGTCCTGGAGCCCTCAGTGGCTTTTCAGGCTTTTATTGGTATTTACCAGGCACACAGCAGGCAGGGGTGCTGGGGGGTCAGGAGGCTGGCAGGCCTTCCAGCCACCAGCAAGTCTTCACTCTGTCTAGGCTCTCCGGTGTTCTTTGCTGGTCTCTGCTTCTTTTCCTCTCGTGGTTCTTTTGTTGGCGTCCCCGTGATGCTGCCCTTATAAGCTCAGTCTCTCAGCCCAGGTGTACCCACTTACGCATGCCCACACCCCACTCCAGGTGTCCGCCATCAGGCATGTATTCAGGACCTCAGGGATCCATCATCAATCCTAATGGCGGGAAGCAAAAAAGCCTGATATTTTGTTCACTTACCCTACACCTGCTAATAACTGTACTGATAACGGACTGTAAATCAAAGCTTCCCATGATCCCTCCTAGGGTTCACATTCATCTGCTAGAGTGGCTCACAGAACTCAGATAATTTTCCTATTGTATTTCCAGTTTATTGTAACAGGAATGGTCAGAGGGAAGAGAGGTGAAAGGCGAGATATGGGATGGGGCGTGTGTGCTCAGCTTCTCTGCCCTCTCCAGCCAAGACACTGTCCCCAAATTTTCATGTTCACCAGCCGGGAAGCTCTCAGATTCCTGACATTTTAGGTTTTTTTTTTTTTTTTTAAGATTTATTTATTTATGCATACAAGAGCGGGGATGCAGGCCAGAGATGGGGGGGGTGAGAGGATTCACCACAGACAGAGTGGGGAGCAGAACAGGCAGACTGACTGAAACACTGCTGAGGGGAGCAGCACGGCATCAGGAGAAGTCTGCTGTGCCATGTGGGTAGCTCCCTGGCCGGCCTGGGATTGAACTCATGCCCCAGAGGCTGTGGATTGCTTCATAGCGTGGTGCTTAACCCCTTGCGCCACCAGGGAGGCCCCATTTTAGGTTTTTTAATGGAAGCTTATTGCATAGGCAAGAAGGTTGGTTCATTAGCCCTTGGTGACTGACTCACCCTCCAGGTCCTCGCCCTTCCCCAGCGGGTGGCACTAAAAGTTCCAGCCTCTAATCACACAG